ATATATCAAAAGGGGCCACAATAAAAAAAGGGATTTCTAAAAATCTTTACAAACCCATTGAATAAAAAAACACTATAGTAGTAATTATGGAGGACACACTGGTCTATATAAGGACGACATTTCTATACTTCAACAATAGGTTGGTGTCTCAACTGTTCATATTACATTTCAGAGGTAAGAACTGTTCATATACACTAGGGGGAAAAGGAAAAACATTTTGATCCTCCAGTGCCCAAGTCACTAGATTTACAATCCTGGCATCTCTCTGGACACAGAAGTGTTACAGCTGGGCAGCCAAGCAGTTAACAAAAAAAAAATTAGCATGGAAATTAAAATTCAAAGCAGCTTATTTAAACTGCGGCGCATATTTATAGAATATTTAGTATTCTGGTATGTGGCGTGCACAACATGGGAGGAAATATGAATATTACATTACTGTCCCCGAACCAGCATCCAGGACCCTGCTGGCAAGAGCATAACAAATGCCGCAGTAAAAAGTTTTATTTAGACGTTAAGTCTCCCGCCCGCAGCAGGATTTCGGAGAGCGTACCGCACGCGACCATCACAACGCACTCAGGAATTGAATTACCCAGGGGGGAGACACTGCTGATGAGCTTTGCTGCGCTTATTTAATTTCATTTACTTTCAGTCCATTAGCAGCATGGGGTTTTCTGTATCCCCACAAGAATGTCACAGGCATGAAAACGCTGTATAAATTACAGAGAGATAAACCCTAAACTTACTGCTACACATACGTGATGAGAGGTTCACCAAAAGGTCTGACCCCCTCTCCTCTATGATTTTACTTACTTACTGCTTTTAAAGATTAGAGATGAACTAATTTTTTTTACAGCTTTAACGATTTATGTTGTTTAGTGTGGAGATTAAAGAAACACTCCACTTAAAATGAGAAAAAAATGTTTTCAATAATCCTTGATGCCCTCCATGCAATTCTGCATCAGTGTCCCCCATGCAATATACAGTAGCTCCATTAACCCAAACAGTGAGATTATATTTCCTTTTTTTTATCATTTACTTGTAAACAGTAAAGAGGCAAATAAAAGACATGCCTGCAGCATGCAATATGAAAAGAAAAGGAGAGGCCATATAATTCTGAAGTGCACATATTATCGTGTGATGTGTCAGTATCTTTACTAAAATTATAAATAAAACTCAGTATATAATCAGATTTACAACAATTTTAAACATATAAAAGAAACAATTACAAATCACTAGGATTGCTTGACCTTAGTTTCATAGCAATTCTATTATTGAATTTGTATTTTATGGCACTGATCACAGTAATACTAAACACAAGTTTCTTTTTTAGATTTCCAATATGTTTATGTTTGGTAATTCTTAGGGACTACTCCCAATGTAGTGTTGCGTTAAATGCTTGGGATTCCTGCATTCAGCACATGCTATCACACAGTGCATGGAACCACAGACTAGGTGTGCTGGTGCGTTGCGATCGATTCTGAAGCACAATGCGTGGTAGCGCAACAAGCTGAATAGCTGTGTGGTGAAAAAAAGTAGTACATACATTTCTGTTCTGTTACCGCACGTCAGTGCATGTTGTTACTGCACACTGTGCTGCAATGTACGCCTGCTGGGAGGTGTGTTGGGGTGCAATGGAGAATCAATGGTGATGCAACATACAGCGCACCTAGTGTGAGTACCATGCTCTATTTGGTAACGTGTGCTAAACGCACAGATCCAATGTTAAAGTCAAAAGGTTTTCATCTAAACGCTGATTAAACCACAATGAATTTTCATGTTTATAAGTTTTAGCTTCCTGCCAAATCAGCTGGTGTCCTGAGCTCAGACCCAGATATCCTTTCTATTGAGGGTCCTATGTAGCCACCCTTGTGTGTGCTAGAAAGCTCCCCACTGCTTACTGCTAATTTTTCCCTTCTTCAAGCTAGTACATGGACAGCTGCTGGTGACTGCTCTGTCCTTGTGATCTTGTACTGGACAGGAAGTTCAGGGAAGCTGAGCTGAAAATGTTACCGCCAGCTATTTAGAAATATGATAACTAAGTGCTTGGGCAAAGAAAATGTAAAATATTTTGCTGGACAATGTATATTTGTTTGATCTAGATTAATTATGGAGTTTAATACTACTTTAACCACCTAGCAAAATTTAAATTAATTTAATAAATGCACATATAGACCAAACTGGCCTAAAGTTCTTATTTTCTACATGAACCTGTGCACAGATTATGTACCTTTAAAGTATTTACATATTCTGAATAAGCAGTAAAAGAACTTTAAAGAAGTTCCAGGAAAACTTTTTCTTAACCCTTGCAGTGATGCTACCCCCCCCCCCCGCACTGCAAGGGTTAAGCGCTCGTTTTTGTCTAATGTAGATATACTCACCCAAAGCTCTGAGCTGGCCAGCTGTCACAGCGCTCCCTCCAGACTCAGAGTACCGGTTGAGTATAACTTTCTTTTTTTACCTAAACAAAAATGAGCAGTTAACCTTTGCAGTGCAGGGGTAGTCCCACTGCAAGGGTTAACATGCCCCTATTCCCCATGTAGCTATAGTGGAAAAATGTATCTTCAAAGTCAAAGCAGAGGAACTGAAATCACTGATAGAAATTGACTGAACCTTGGCTTTAGAGTCTTTGTTGTGATCTTTAAGCATATTTCAGCTTGAAATACTTCACAATACAAGTAGCTAGAGAGGATCTGTGATGGCTCTCTTTAAAGCGCTTGCTATAAATGCACACACTATGGACATTAAACTACTTACCGTATATTTTCTAAACAAGCAGAAACAAGCCCTTGCTCACCTCTCTAGCTGCTTTTCATGTAAAGTAATTATTTCTCAATGATCCACAAAGATCACAACAAAGGCTCTTAAGTTGGTTTTCAGCTAGTGTCTAACAGCTTAGATACAACTGGTGTGTGTTTACATTAGAGGGCTGGTAAACTGCCAAGATTCTGCTCTTATAGAAAAAAAGATTCACTCCCTGTGTTGTGAACTATGAAAGATAATTTCTCTACAATGCTATACATATGTATGCATGTTATATTTCCACTACAAATTACCTCATAGAAGCAGACACTTTTGTGATGTCTGTTATCAGGTTCTTTGGGGAAAAACTATAAAAATGCGTGCCCTTTCCTTGAAGAGGTCATTTGGAATTGTTGGGGCTAAATGACTCTAAATATTTATATTAAAGTCTATAAAAAATAGCCATGCATATTACAATTTGATTGTACGATCTATTTATTTTAAATAGAACAGTACAAA